TGTGTACACACAGGACGCGCGGCTGCACGTGTATTTACCACCGACGGCGGGTAGGCGGGTCCGCAGTTACAAATGTCACCGTAAAATTACTTTTTAATTATCGTCGAGAGGATTTCGCTTATTACGCGATATTCCGCTCCGCTTCTGAGATGGAGGCGGCGGCGGCGGTTGGTGGCGGAGGTAGGAATTTCGCCCGAAATTTTCTATTTTGCTCGCGCCGCTGACCCTCGACCGCGTCTCGTGCGGGGTCCGGTACTTTTAATTTAGATAAGATTGTCCCTTTTATACGTCGCGAGGCATATAGAAAGCCTCACGTAGGTCGTTGGCAGCGTGCTACGCTCCCGAATCGAAGTAATTCTTACCTAGGCGCGATTGTGACCGTCTGCGTTTCGTGTTTGTAATCAGAGCAGATAGTATGAAAAAGATAATATAAAAAGGATCACATTGCAGATGATAACACGAGCAAAGCAGCGTGTTATTCAGAAAGGTTAAATTTTCATTTCAATCAAATGTTTTCTTCGAGAATATTTATAATTTAGAATAAATATCGTATAAAGAAATATCTATTATAAATATCTAAATATGTATTATCAATCTTTCAGCAAACGCCGATATAAGACTTTAGGATATCAAAAAAAATTATATATTAAATATTCATCTAAAACATATAAGAGCTCTTTTTATAAGCATCTTGTTCATTATGCTTGTTGATAATTGGTCTTTGGCTGATATATCAAGTCGTTTTAAATCTTTTTATAAACTCTGAGCCTTAACGCTCCACAAAATTCATTTACTTTCCGTGAGTACCGAGGTCCTCGAGAAAGACACGCGCGGAGAATGAATGAAAAGTTCGGCCAAGAAATTCAGCCCTCTTTCGTCCGCCGAATATTATCTCGGCGACAGCGCGGGCGATTCGTTTGCCCGGCGGTAAATCCGCGAATTAAAGAACTTATTCCATTTGGGCAGCCAAAGGGGTGTGAACGCTTTCGCGTTCGTATTATCTCTCGGCCCGGTCGTCGGAGACGGGGAGCAGGGAGACAAAAAGGGAAAGAGAGCGTAACTGGCAGGAAGGCGAGGACGAAGGACGAAGGGCTGGGGATGACCTGGCGAAAGGCGAGAGGATGAGAGAGATAGTCCGGGCGGGAGGGTGAGAAAGAGGATGAGAGAGAGAGAGAGAGAGAGAAAGCGCGTTTAGACGTTCGTTCCGCTGGTAACAAAGATAACTCTATGCAATAAAAATGATTCAAAGTTTCCCGCGGCGGATGGCGGTTCCGATGGCGGAGCGGTTGACAATGGTGCGTCTTTGTCTCCGTCCCGCGCCGCACCGCCGTCCCCCGACCCGCCGCGCCGCCACTTTTGCCGCGACCGCCTCCCTCGTCCGTATCCTGCGACACCTATCTTCCGGTTTAAAGTCCCGGCGTGCGCGCCAGAGAGGAACCTCGCTAACTTTTATTATTTACGACCGATATTTCAGCCAGGCCCGAGCGAGTACACCCGGTAGCGCGAGCGAGCGCAAAGTGGCCGCTACCGCGATGCGACATCGCGTTTTTAATCGATGATAATCCGAGGAGTCGCTACGGAAAGATTCTGATTGTCCGATCTGTCGTCCATCCCGCGTATCAATTCGTTACATAAGAGCGGTATTCGGAGTCTAGTCTTACTTTAGGATCTTAAATAATGTCTCAATAATGTCTGCTAATGCAGCTCTCTGATTGGCTATAACGACATCTTAAGACAGTCTCAAGTATAAAAATTGACTGTGAATACTGGCCAGAATCTCGAGTTATCGCAGCTTTATATTGTACTCATATTGTACATAGATGTTTCTTCCCATACATCGCAGATCATTCCAGCAATATTGAAGCAACATTGCAACGTTGCTGCAAGCTTTTGTGCTATATAGGTTGCCAATTTTTTCCGCGTCGTTTAGAAATAATGGGCTTTCTATAATAAGCCGTTGGTACATGTAGATCAGAAGTCAGTAACGAGTTGTAGTGTGTCATAAAGTAATTTTAAATTAGTAATCAGTGAGTGGAAAAAAATGATTCCATTTCTTATAATTTAAAACTTAGATTAAGTTATGACTGATCAATCGTATAATATGTTCTTATTTGTCCTGAGAATCTATTATCCTTCTGATTGGCTGAGATATTATGACATAATGATCTCTCACTCTTTCTCTCTCTGCTGATTTATTTTGAATGTAAGTTTCCTAAAGAGCCTATTTTATAATTGTGTAAATGTGATTATAAGTAACTGTAGTTGTAAGAATTGAAATCACAGTCGAATATTCTCTTCAAATTCAATTGTAATTTGTTTTCTTACAACTACAATGCTTAAAACCAAACTTACACAATTATAGAATAGGTTTAAGATTTAAAATAAATAAGACTTATAATTTTGTGATTTACCACTAATATGATATAAGTGATGATTAACACTTTATTTTAGAAAGTTTATAAGAGTACACGATAGATAAAGTATAAAGCCAATTATTGTGTCGTTTATGAATTATATCATGGCATTGTATATAACATGGGTAACACAATTTAATTGTTTTCCATAAACAACAGTTGGCAGACACTTTGGCTGGTATTCATATTCGATTGTCTGAAGTATAGTCTTAAGATTTAAGTCATAAACCAAATAAAGAGTGTGTTAGCATCTCAGACATTACTTAAGATAATTTTAAAATAAGATAGATTATGGATATTGCTCTTTGTCTATTTTGTATATGCTTTTGTCTTTACTCACAAATGCATTGAGATAAACGTGAAATAAGAATTTCAAGCCATTCCTGATGTCGGTTGATGAGGTTTAATCGCGGCATACCACTGTGAAGTAAAACGAAATGTTACGTTATTAAAACAGCTGAGTGAAATTAACCGAACACGGGTCTTATCGAATCAACGGATGAACGGGCGACGATCGGCACCGAGAGACCGTCGGACCCTCCGTCCGCACTTACCCTCTTGCCACCCTTGTGGGCACCTTTATCTACCTATACCTATATGCATATACATACGCGATTCTCTCCCCGATGAAGGGTCTGAATTTGCATTTTATTCGCAGTCGTGGAACCGCGGGTCCGTCCGTGCGGGTAACGCTCCTCCGCGGCGCGGACATTTATTTTAATTAAATTACTCTGGAGCGTCGAACAACCCATTTCCTATAAATTATCCCCTCGCCGCTCTTTTGCGTTCGCGCGCCGAGGCATTAACGTACCCGCTGATCCCGCGGTGCCATTGAAATGAAATAAAAGCACCAGTGAGAGCGAAATGTACCGCTTGACCAATTCTCACCGCGATTCTTCCGCTTCTCTTTCATTTACCGCAAGTGTACTCATACCTTTAAGTTCTCAAATGTTTCAGAAAACCCAAATTTTCGTTATGCCTCTTCGTTATTGTTTTTTTACATTTGACTTGAATTATAGACACTTACGTTATCTAATTTAATTAGATAATTGAAGTATTGTAGCAAATATTGTAGCATATTATTTTACATTTTTATTATTAAAAAAGTAAAAGAATAATAGATGCATTAAAATACCGTTCTGTTTGAAGATGTTTACGAAAATGGAAAATTCAAAATATTATTTGTTCTAATTATTTGACCATGATTTTATAATGTATTATCAAAGAATACTTATTATGTTTTGTATGAAATGGAAATATTAATTTTTTGTAAATTATATTATTTTGTAAAATTTGTAATTATATAGAATATATAAAGACACTTGTAACAAATTTATAAAATAACTAGTTTCTTTATAAATAAAATAGTAAAATATAAAAATTTGTATGCTATACACTTGTAATCTTTGATACTTATACATTGATACAAAAATACAAGTACAAATTTTACTAAATTAATGATTTACAAAAATTTAATCTGTCTATTTAATGCAAAATATTTTTTAGGAAATACATTGTTACATGCTCAAATAATTAGGAAAAAATATCTTAAAATTTATTTTCTCAAACATGGTTATAAATGGAATAATAAAACATATAAATTTTTATATTTTTTATTATTCCACTTACAAACTGTAATTAATTTACAAATTTATTACAAATTTATCAACAAGAAAACAATAGATATTCTTTACACTTCATAGAACGGATACTTTGTATAATAATCAATAAATCTCATCACACACTTGTCTCTTAATATTTATCTCTCTCTCTCTCTCTCTCTCTCTCTCTCTCTCTCTCTCTCTCTCTCTCTTACTGTTCTTAATTATTTCACATTGAATATTTCGTTCATATTCAATCATCAAATAAAACACAAATGTTATACATATATACCTATATATATACACTGAAAAAATGATGTTATATCAACAGTATTATTTTAATTGAAAATAATCTTATTGATACATAACAGTATTAACAAAACAAATAAAATTTTAATAAAACAAGAGCATGACGTATTTGTTTTATTAATGATATTATTAAATTATATACTTGTATATTTTTTGTATCAATATCAAAGATTATATAGATAAGTGTATAGCATAAACATTTTTATATTTTACTATTTTATTTATAAAAAAACTCTATAGTCATTTTATTAAAACAAAATAATTACTTTCAATCAAAATACTGCTGTTGACATTATTTTTTTCAGTGAGTGTACATACACATCAGCAAATAGTACTACTGGTTCGATATTACGTTTCATAGAAATCGTCATTTATAATGACGATGCCAATTCAATTGAATGCAGTCTTGCGAACATTTCTATATTGCATTTGTCAAATATTATGTGCCTTGGCGCGAATAAACACGGCCTTACCCAACGTGATCTGTGTCCGGAGACAGCCGTATTACTTGGATAACACAGTGAAGCGGCGCACGCGTTAGCAGCCGACACGGCCGGCGCGTTGTCGGGATTAGGTTAGGTTGCACGATGCAACGCGCAACTCCACGACTCCGCTCTCATCTATTTACGTTCCTTCGTAAACGTGCAATATGCGTGACGATCGCGGACTCTCTTACCTGGTAAGGGACATCTTCGCCGACCTTGCCGCGGGTCGCCGCGATGTTGAGCGTAAGCACGCAACACTTGTCGGCATTCCACACGTACAGCACGTTGTCGCGAATCTCGAGGATGTTCCGTGTTTCCTTCGCGCCGCTCGATAGACTCGCCTTGATATCCTTGAATAGCCCCTTCTCGTTCAGACGCAACAAGTCCGTGCACGATGACATCCTTCGTTCGAACGCGAGCAACGGTAACGCGAGGTTATGGCGATAAACGCGCGCGCTTTGGATACAACAACGTTGACGCACGCCACCACACGGCTGCCGCGCATCGTGAACTTGAGATACGACGAACTTCAGGCGGTACCTGTTTTTCGAAAGAGCCGTTGTTCGCGACGCGGCGTCCGATTCGGCTATAGTTCTCGTTTCAACGGGATTTTTTATTCTAACGCGACGGCGATGCGATTTCGCGGGCGAGTTGCATTAATTACATTTGCGAATGTTGTAAAATCTCGTCGATCGCAAGTACCGTTGCGAGCACTCGAGTCGCGGCCGCCACGTGTGGCAAGTTATCGATCGCGACTCGGCCGGTTTAACCGCGAAATCCAGGATTCGGGAAGGTCGCGACGGAGTAATTTTGCGAACAACCTGCTTCAAAATGGAGTTGAGCGGATTTACGTTGTTACGTCTTGAGACAACGAGGGTAAGTGAGATTGCTCCAGCTTATTATTTTTATAATTCATAAATATGATAGATTATTATTTTTTACCTTTAATATGCACACGTTTGGGTCACTCGTGTTTGGCGCGGTTATTTTTTTTTGAAATGTTAAAAACATTTGGCTAAAGATTTCTTCCTCTCCTTTCTTTTAAATATGTAATTTTATAAAAATATTTTTAAAATGTGATAAAATATATGTAAGAATCGGAGTGAAAATCGATCGATGAAATTAAACGTAGGAATTATTTAATAATCGTCGTATATATTTGTAAAAGTGATGAAAATTAACTTTTGAGATACGAACGACCCGAGGAAGGACCTATTGTGTGTCTTAATTCAGACAAAAAGCATTCTAAGACAACATGTTCAAAAATGACACGAGCTATGTTAAGGGGGGCATTTAAAAGTCATCTTATATTTATTTCTATTTTTATCTCGGTTTAATTTATTCTTTTTCTATCCTTTCCTAACTTTTAAAAAAACTAAAAAAATTAATTAATATTAAAATCTACATTGGTAGAAAGAGTCGTAAAAGACTTTTTCAAATGTCTTTAAGACGTCTTATTTAGTATTGTCTAGCTACATAATTGAATAGAATATCACTTTTACTGAAATAAAAAATATCAGATATACAAATTATATATGTATAATTAATAACATATGGTATAATCCAAAGCTGATATTATTGATCTGCAATTACATTTAATTATGATTATAACGAAATGTACCGATAAACAAATTAATATCTTTATCTCTCTATATATTATTATAATTTTATATTATTACAAAAATTCGTATTTTATTCTTTTTATTATAAATTGATATACTTGGTATGAACCAAAAATTGATCAAAATGCGCGTTAATTTATCTATACATGTATACAACTAAAATAAATATATTTTGATTTTTAATATTACGTATATTGTATGTATGTGTGGTATACATATTTGTGTAAGGTTAAAAAAAACAAAGCAAATAATTTTTCGCTTCCAGGCCCCGGAGGGATTCGAACCCTCGATCTCCTGTTTACTAGACAGGCGCTTTAACCAACTAAGCCACGGCGCCAACGGAGAAACGTCAGTATCTACTGTTTATCGACTACCAAGGAAATTCCGACATACCCGACACTTAAGTTTCAAATTGAATTGTAATTCTTGTGACACTGCATTGCTTCCGTTTCTTGCACGCGTTGAATATTTTTTTGTGGACTATACATGTCACGATCTGTGCTCTCTGGGGGAATCTATCATTTATATTACATAACGTGAAAGACATAAAAGGATAATGTATAATTGTAAAAAATAATGCGCATTTGCAAGTAACGGTTAAGATTTAATTACATTATTATTTTTTATTAAATAGTATATCAATGAATGATATGTAAAGTAAACCGAGTGAAGCAAATAGGATATAATAGAATCAATTATGGTCAATTTTCACTTTCGAACTATTTAAATATTACACGAATTGTTGCAACTGTAAGTACGACTTGTATGAAGTGATTTTGTTATGAACTTTTTAAAGTTTTATTAGTTAATCTCTATGATAATAAACTTTAATTTATAACAAGTTAGATTTTTATTTACAAATCTTTATTAAATTATTTTTTAAAAAATAAATAGTTTTTTTTTACAAATTGAGTTTAAAGTTTTCAGATTTCGCTTTTAGTTGTTATTACTTGTATATGATAAAGTGGCATTCATGTATAGGAATTTGTATGCAAAATATAACGCCCCCGGGTGGGCTCGAACCACCAACCTTTCGGTTAACAGCCGAACGCGCTAGCCGATTGCGCCACGGAGGCAGACGGTTAGTACGCCTTGAGTAAACGACAAGGTCTTCATTATTTCTTCACCTAATTTCTTTTTTAATTATGCATATTTAACATTTTTTTTTTTATAAATATGTATCACGTAATATCTTATATACGAATTATTAATATTTGAGACAAACTAGAGTTGTTTAAAGTAATTCTAAGATTGATATAATAGCAAAATATTGTTAATAAGCTTAATAATGAACATAAATGTTCTCTTTATGTGATTTTTTTTCTTAGTTATATGTATAACTAATATTTTTTTATCACAAGTATTATTTATTATTTCACAAGTATGATATAATTTATTATTTCATTATTATCTGATACATGTATTATTTTATTTTATTATCTTTTATATGAATTAATAATAATATTCGACAAATCAAAATCAATCAATTGAGATAATTTTGAGGTTGTATTGTACAAGCGAAACATTGTTTGGTGATAAGCTTAACGATGAACACAAAATGATTAAAACTGTTTAATAGATTCGCAACTATTAGAAAAAAAAAAAGTTAAAAGTACTCCGTTTGACCTCGTTTATTATCTTTTTATGTTAAAAACCAGAGTAAATATGCTGGTGAGATCTATAAATTGCTTGGTGCATGCGAAGTGATTTGCAATTCATTTTCCGATAACAGCCGACGATGAATTGCGCTAACCTCTCCGTTTCTAGAATACTACTATCAACAAAACGCACGTTCGCATGTATGTGCAGAGCCTCGACGTACTCTACGATACAAATCGAACAGATGTGTCGACGCAAGAAAGCGACCGCGATGAAATATCGCTTCGCGTTGTAATAAATTCGTTATAGTCGTGGTCGTGGGCTGTGCGTGGCGGTAATACGCGCGTATACGTAACGGGAAATAGTCCGGTACATTCGCATCGAAACCATATACAGTTAATTAAATGGGGTCGGCTCATTAGTAACTGTCTATATGCAAGGCGATGGGCGAGACGCGATTGGAGGGTGGTCCCAAGGTGATTTATCCGTCACGATGGATCGCAGATGTTCGACTGGTATATGTCGCGGGTCATCACGATACTGTAATTAGGATGATAGCGCGTTATATGTATTCAGCATGAAAATGCATGTTTCGTTTAGGTGCATAATGTGTAGGTTGTAGAAAATGATCGTTGAAATACTGTTGTTTTTTTTTTTTTTCAATTGAGTTGGAAGAATTTAATGTATATTGATCCCACATAGAAAAAATGGTTTTGCTAAAGTATCCAACAATTTAGCTAGATACAAAATCAATTTAACTATAGACATTACAAATCTGAAAATAATTTTAATAGATGTCATCAAGCTCATTCTCTAAGTTCTCATTAAACTCAACGCGTTCTATAAGTATAATTAATTTGATATAGTCTAACAAAATTATTTTTTAATTTGTATTTAGCTAAATTTTTATATTCTTCAACTGAAAGGTAAAACTTCACTAAATTTCAAAAAAAGGAAATGTAAAATATGCTATATATGAAAAGGTTTTGTTTAAATATCTAAAAATTTAACTAAATACAGGTCTAATAATATAATTTGATTGGTCTAATAAAATAATTTTGTAAGACGTTTGTTGTTAGATTGTTGAAACTTTTTGCAGCATTTTGCTCATAATGCTTGAGATTTCTATGTAATATTTTAGTAATCCAACAATTATTTTTAAATTTATATCTGGTTAAATTTTTAGATATTTTAGCAAAATTGCTTTTTTTGTTCCATGAATTTATCTATAACCATAACAATGATCAATTATTGGCAGAATAAACGATCAATACTTCAGTAATCTATCCGTAAATCGGTCGCAATACACCATCGTCGCAAGACTCGCTCTTAAAGATCTCCGTCGGAAGGAGACCTTCTGGTTCGGCTATGGTGACGCTAACGGTCTGTTTAAATTGTGTGTTTAATTACACAAGTAAGAGACAGTCGCCGCGAAATTTATCGGTCACTGTTACCGTCCCCTTCGTTCCTAATCTACGTAGCAGATATCCACGCGAAACAGAGGAGAACATATCCTTCGCCTGCAATAAGACGCTTCTCATTGCTTTTTAGTGCCTCTTCCCGGCAGAGAAGCAATTAGATTTATCAAGCATACACGCATATAATTTACTGATATTACTTTGGTAGTTATAGCCAATACAATGCTAAATATGACTCGAAATATTTACACGTAACTTATGATTATGATATTCAAGATTTATGTATTTTTTTTTTATATAATCTATAAAAGCTAATTAACTATAAAAGCGATCACACACATCTCTTTTGATAAGTGTAGTGATATTATATGAATTATTATTATTGTAAAAAGGATTTGTTTTTTATATTTGTATATATTATTACGTGTTCTTTGTTATATCTCTGTGAAGGCATATGCAGTTTTCTCTGCATATGCAAATACATATTTTTGAAGTTCTTTTTAATTATCGAAGAATTCTTGTTGTACAAGACTGAGCACTTGTATATATCTACGGTTAGAGAATACATGGATCTCGCTTCTTATTGGATAGGAATTTATGGCCATAAATCTAACTGGTTCCCGTCGAGAGGTTGAGCTTCCTCCTGGAAGTTTACAATCCCTCGTTCTCTCTATTCTGTAACCAACATCCGCTCCATCTCTCTTGTTCGCGTTTTCCATCCCTTCTCGGCACGGAAAGCACGGTACTTTACAGGCTATGGTG